CCCCAAAACCCCAAAACCCCAAAACCCCAAAACCCCATTCCTCTGCAGACATATTGAAAAATAAAATTTAAATTTAAGTTTTTATAATAATAAAATGGAAAGTATTACTGAAGCTATTGAAGAAGAGAACACCCAGATAATCAGGTAACTGAGAGCTTAGTTTTAGAATACTTGAAATTTTCACTCTCAAATCTGTAAAAAGTCCCAAAACTCTAAAGTTTAACCAAAATTTTCAACTTTTATAATAATTTCACCAAAAATTTCTTGACCGAGAAGTTCATAGCAAAACTAGAGAGACTTTATAAGCCTTGCCTCTCTTAGATTAATTTGGGATCTCCACAGATAACATTTCTCCTAAAGACTTAAACCTGGGAGTTCTCAAAATCTAAATTAGCACCCTTTCATCTCCAAATTTCTGACGGATCCTAACACTGATCTACCTCCCCGTCTGCCTCTAATTGTGCAGTCTAGAGAAATCTGTCCTGACAGAAACCAAGGAGCAAGAGGTCACCACATGTCAGAGCATCCTCTATAAGGTTCTCCCAGATGAAGAAGTTGAGCCATCGGATCCAGACTCCGAAGAATTTTCAAGAAACAGTGGACTTCGCATTAGGTTGGACGAAATCTGAGATGGCAAACTTTCGAAAAGTTTGAAGTGTCTTAAGGTTTTTGATATAGATTGCCTTACTTTGGGTAAGATTGATTCTAAAAATAGGCGTTTTGTTTTAAATTTCTTACAATCCTCATTCCCAAATAAAACTGAGGAACTCAATTTTTGGTCCGGTGACCAAATGGATCTGAAAAGGTGCAACTACTTAAACTCCCTGACCAGACTCAGCTCCAAAGTCGTTCAACAAGTTGACTTTGAAGATTTCAGCATCGGCCTTCCCCAACTCAAGAGGCTGATGGCAGCTTTCAAGCATGTGAGAGCTTTGAGATTGCAATATTGCAGGCTATCTATCCCAAGTGTTCCTGATTTTTCAAAGGCTCTGAAGAACTTCCAAATCAAGAGAATATATTTAAACGGATCAGGAGCCTCTGATAGAAGTGACTGGGAGAACAACTTTGACGAGTTCGAGAACTTGGTACAAGGGTTAGCAAGCTCTCCAGATTTAAGATTGAGTCTTAAAGGAGTAAGTGTCTCTGACTGTGGAGTAACCCAAAATGGAGTTGAACAAGTCTTTGAAGAAAACCAGCTTGGAGAAGTTAACATATTTTTTGGAAATAATTCTGGTTAAATTTCTTATTTTAACTACTTTGGCTTAAATCCTGCTTTCTCCATATTTTGCACTTGGTGGCTTTTTAATATATTCCGGGGTTTGATTAAGCTGGGGTTTTGGGGTTTTGGGGTTTTGGGG